GAACAGATCCCACAGAGTGATGTAGCCTTATTAGGAATGTGCTCTCGTGGTGCCCATCCAAAGCATCTAATTGTGACGCGTGTATTTGTGCCTCCTGCCTGCATTCGTCCATCGGTATTATCAGAAGTAAAAGCCGGCACAACGGAAGATGATTTGACTATGAAACAGAGCGAGATCCTGCTAATTAATGATGTTATCCAGCGTCACATGGCTACTGGTGGAAAAATTGAACTCATATATGAAGACTGGGACTTTTTGCAGCTGCATGTGGCCCTTTACTTCCATAGCGAGATCAGTGGAATACCCATCAACATGGCACCAAAGAAGACCACACGGGGAATTGTTCAGCGTTTGAAAGGAAAACAAGGTCGATTCCGTTGCAACCTGTCTGGCAAACGTGTAGACTTCAGCGGCCGTACCGTCATTTCGCCGGACCCAAACTTGATGATTAATCAGGTTGGAGTGCCAGTGCGTGTAGCTAAGATTCTTACCTACCCGGAACGCGTAAATCTTGCAAACATTCGTCATATGAAGCAACTGGTACGCAATGGGCCTAGCACGCACCCAGGGGCCAACTACGTTCAGCAGCGGGGTTCGAGTTTCAAGAAGTACCTTGCATATGGCAATCGTGAGAAGGTTGCGCAGGAGCTTAAGTGTGGAGATATTGTGGAGCGACATCTTTGCGATAACGATATCGTTCTATTTAATCGCCAACCGTCGCTCCACAAGATGTCAATTATGTGTCATCGTGCCAAAGTACAACCCCAACGAACATTTCGCTTTAATGAGTGCACCTGTACACCATACAACGCGGACTTTGACGGTGATGAGATGAATCTTCACTTGCCACAGACTGAGGAAGCCAGAGCCGAGGCTTTAATCCTAATGGGCAATCAATCAAACTTGGTTACGCCTAAGAATGGCGAGATTTTGATTGCTGCCACACAGGACTTTATAACCGGTGGGTATCTGCTTACACAAAAGGATGTTTTCCTCACCAAAGAAGAGGTGATGCAGTTAGCAGCATGCTTTTTAGCCAACGAGGACTCCACCATGAACATAGATATGCCGACTCCTGCTCTTATTAAGCCACGCCGACTCTGGACGGGAAAACAAATATTCAGCTTGCTCATGCGCCCAAACACTGACTCGCATATTCGCCTCAACATGGTGAACAAGGGACGAAACTATACGAAAAACATGGATCTATGTAACAACGACTCGTGTATGTGTCTTTTGTCATACGTTATACATTTGTTTGGGCATTATCAACTAAACTGAACTTTCTGTGCTTTGATTTTAGGGATTCACATCCGAAACTCTGAGCTAATGTGCGGTGTGATGGATAAGGCCACTATGGGCTCAGGTACAAAGCAATGCATCTTCTACTTACTGCTGAGGGACTTTGGGGAGGCTCACGCTACCAAGGCAATGTGGCGATTGGCTAGGGTTTGTATTTGAACAGTTACAGAACTACTTAACGGTCTGTTAATCGGCACATATCTAGAAGATAATTCGTACATTTAAGAGAATGCTAACAGGTCGTAAAGTATTTTTGTTTCATATCACCAAAGTCTGCAACAAAAATTTTTGTTTCATTCTAATGCTTTCCTTCCCCCTGAAATTCTTTTTATAGGTATTAAAAGTAAAGTCTTCATTGTCTACTATTTTAGTTAATAAATTCTCAAATATTTTTCAGATCACCTCTTACTTTATACAGAACCTTGGGTTCTCCTTCGGCATCAGTGATGTGACGCCCAGCCAAAAACTTTTGCATCACAAGCAACTATTGCTAGAGCGCGGCTATGCAAAGTGCAACGACTATATAGAAAATCTGAAATCGGGAACACTTCAGTGCCAACCTGGATGCACGCCGCAAGAGACCTTGGAATCGGCGATGTTGCGCGAGCTATCAGGCATTCGCGAGCAAGCAGCCAAGACATGTTTCGCCGAGCTGCATCCCACCAATAGCGCCCTTATAATGGCTCTGAGTGGCTCCAAAGGCTCAAACATCAACATTTCTCAGATGATCGCTTGCGTAGGACAACAAGCTATTAGTGGTAAACGAGTTCCTAATGGCTTCGAGAATCGCGCTTTGCCGCACTTCGACCGGCACTGTGAGTATTCGCTGATGTAAAATCGAAAAAAACACAATTAAATTAACGAATTGTTTCACATTTCAGCTGCTATTCCCGCCGCTAGAGGCTTCGTTCAGAACAGCTTCTATTCTGGCCTAACCCCTACGGAGTTCTTTTTTCACACTATGGCCGGACGCGAAGGTTTGGTTGACACGGCGGTGAAGACTGCGGAGACAGGATATCTGCAAAGGCGTTTGGTCAAGTGCCTTGAGGATCTGGTAGTGCACTACGACGGCACTGTTCGCAATGCTGTGAGCGAGATGGTAGACACTATCTACGGTGGTGATGGCCTTGATCCTGTTTCAATGGAAACCCGAAACAAGCCAGTTGATCTGGTTCATCAATACAACAATTTGCGGGCCCAAATACCATATAGCGTGCAAGACGCTCTACCGGCCGCCGAGATTCCAGTCGTTTTAGAAGCTCTTTTGATGAATCCAGAGTTCATTGACGCTCGCTATGATTTTAAGATGGATATCAGGTAAGTGGTTTAAAAGGAAATGACTATGACTATGATCTACTCGCAGGCTCTCTGGGGTTATCTTCTTGTTTGCCATATTCTCCATTAACAACAACATTAAATTCTTTGTATAATACAGGAAGTACCTAGAGACTGTGTCTACCCGCATTGGAAGATTGCAAGAAAAGTATATAGAAAATGGAAATCTTTGTCATCATATCGAATGCATCACTTCCGAGCAGCTGCTAGAATTCCTACGTCGCATCAATTATCGATATAATCGCGCCGTAAGTGAACCTGGTACAGCAGTAGGAGCTATTGCTGCTCAGAGCATTGGAGAGCCGGGCACCCAAATGACGCTAAAGACTTTTCATTTTGCGGGTGTCGCTTCGATGAACATTACTCAGGGTGTGCCTCGTATTGTGGAGATAATCAACGCAACGAAAACTATTTCTACGCCAATTATAACTGCTGAGCTTAAAGTAAATAATAGCATGGAATATGCGAGACAGGTGAAGTCTCGCATTGAGAAAACCACATTGGGCGAGCTGTCTTCATTTGTCGAGGTCGTTTGCGGACCTTATAGTTGTTACTTGGCCATGGGAATAGACATGCCGCGCATCAAGGTTCTAGGACTTCATATCAACCTAGAGACAATTGTGGCTTGCATACTTAAGTCGCGGATGAGACTTAAGCCTGCACAAGTGGAGATTGCCGCTCGGAGTTCGCGTATTATTGTTCGTGTTGAAACCTCGCGAACATCAACAATAAACGCAGAGCTGGCGCGACTGGCGCTCAGCCTACAAAGCGTTGTTGTTGCGGGCTTGCCGAACATTGCTCGAGCCGTTATTGCAGTTGATGATACTCGGCAGCCGGCCACATATAAACTTTGTATTGAAGGCTATGGGCTTCGTGAGGTCATTTCAACCTATGGCGTAGTCGGCGAGCGCACTCGTAGTAACAATATCTGTGAGATATACCAGACCCTGGGAATCGAAGCAGCACGGACCATTATCATGAGCGAGATCACGGATGTTATGGAGGGGCATGGCATGAGTGTCGACTGGAGGCACATTATGCTTTTGGCCAGCCAAATGACAGCCCGCGGTGAGGTATTGGGTATCACGCGACACGGTCTTGCAAAAATGCGAGAGAGCGTTTTTAACTTGGCGTCGGTAAGTGCAAACGAAATGATTTGTTTATTTAAATATTCTCAATATAAATTGTTTCTATTTAACCATAGTTTGAGAAGACGGCAGATCACTTGTTCGATGCAGCGTATTACGGCCAAACGGACACTATTAATGGCGTATCAGAGCGCATTATACTTGGCATGCCGGCGGGCATTGGTACAGGTATCTTTAAGCTGCTGCATCGTCACGAAGACAAGAAGATTCCGAGAATTGAAGAAACAATTTTCATTGGTTTGAATCTTCTACCACCTCACGTAGGGTAAACACTTTTTTAAACATATATATAGTATCGTTTTCCTGCAAATTCCGGAATATTATTAAGAGATATTGCTGTTAATTATTGTGTAACACAATTCCTATTTTTGAATAAAACAACATTTAGGAAAATGAAAGAGTATGGATATATTGTACAACTTATGTGCATTTCTCTGAAGACGAAAGAGATAGCAATGCGTACGCTTAGCAGTAGAAAGGTAAAAATAAGACTGATTTTAAAAGCTATTCAACCACTAGGACACACTTCATGGCGATCTTGGCTAAGGTACATTTTGGGCAACCATTATTTTTCGAGATTATTGCAAGAAACCAAGCCACTCGGGGACACGTAAGGAAGTGGCGGCCAATTCAAACTCAGATGTGATCGAAAGTTTATGCAATATATTAATGCGAATTTCAGATAAATCTTGTCCATTGCTGTCTCTATAAAATGGTCATACAGATATGATTTGTAATTAAATGCTTCTCGCACGAGTATACGGATTTAAGTCAGAGAGTCAAATGGTTCCCCCATGCGGGCTGTAATTTTCCATCTGCCATTCCCTTTGCTACCACCAGCTTCGAAATGGGACCGGGCTGGTGGCCTGATTTCATGACAGCGACCTAGGCTTTAACCCCGCCTATGAGAATGTGTTCTCCCACACTCTTTCAAGTTGATTTTTTGTAAGATCCGAAGCGATACCACGATGATGGGAAATCCCCTTGATAGACTTTATACTAATGCCCAAAGATTCCTCAATCTCACGATATGTAACGATGCTTAACAAGTTCGCGCACAGCTTCGATATTTTGTGGCACAAAAACGGATTTTACCCACGAAATTCGTGCTGCAACGAAGGATGTGTCGAAAAATGCACATAAAATATTGAAATCATTTACCAGAAATTGTACATATTTTAAGTTCCCCCAAGAAATTTAAAGCAATAATTTTAATACATTTTGAAGAGATCTTTATTAATTTGTTGCTTCTTAAGAGTATATTACGGTTTGATAGTTTATACGTTTCTTTTTTTATCGGGATACAGAAATTAGCTCAAAACTAAGTTTTTGAAGGTGAAATTATATGTGTAAATATATTATCGGAAACATGTAAAATGGATTACGATTAAAACTGATCAATAGCTTACAGAACAAAACATATGTATGGTATTTGGAACGTGACAAGTTGATATATATAAAAACGACTAGAATTCACTTAAAACTGTATGACATCTAGGAAAATAGTTAATATAAATACAGAATAATTATTTTATTGGCGTTGTTGAGGATTCTTCTTTATACCATTGAGTCGTTGCGAGCGAAACTTTGAATGCATATGCTCACAAGTGTCGGCGCGGCGCAATACATCAGCGTAGGACAGATCAAGTTTTTTAAGTTTGTGCAGTTCTTGTGAAACAGTATTATGATAAAACTCAACGCCGTTCAGCTCTATAACACGACCTCTGGCAGATTGGGGCTTATTCATATTTCGGTTATAAATTACCATTTGGGAACCATTCAAATTGTTATACAAATCTGAGTTCCGATTACGAACATCGCGCCCAAGCCCACGGTTATCCGTATTGAATTTTTCAGATGATTTTGGTGTATTGTTTGCATTACCATACTGGTCACCATTTGTAAAACCTTTTTTATCTGTGTCATCCCATAGCTTGCGCTCAAAACGATCTCCAAATGTGGATAGATTTCGATGCTTCCGACGATTTTTCTTTTTTATTCCTACACCCACAGTTAAATATTCCAATGGCTCTCTCTTAATTGGAGTAAATATCCGTCCATTTTCTTCAATTGGCCTTATTTTTGATAGAGATTCAGATCCTTTCATCTTGGACATATTAACCTGTGAGTTCGATGCTTCTTTGATCAATGGCGCCTTGTTTTGATAACTTCTTAAATCATGTATGTGCTTTTTAGCTGTCTTGCGTTCAATTTTTGTGATGCACTCTGAAATGGCTATCGAATTATTAGATATAACGGATGAAGCTATGCTTTGAGTTTCATCAATAGATTCCTCCAGATGTTCTTCGATCACAGGGGTTACTGCAGATATTATCGACGTTTCTGATGTGACTCTATTTACAGTATCGGAATGTTCTAGCAATGAGAGTTTTTCGCCAACTTCATTATTCTCGGCGGATTTCTTAAGCACTCCAAATATTTCTTTGAATAATTCTCTGTATTCAGGGCGGTGACGGAAATGGGAGTCTATCGGACTAACATCGTCGTAAATACTAAATTTACAGTCCTTTCCATCACTTATTGAGCAAAGAAAATAGCCCGGGCGCTCATCGGTTTGCGTGTACTTATTGCTTGTGTCATCTGAATACCCCGATGACGAAGTTTCGACCTCTGAGAACTCCGTTGGAGTCCGTCCCACTCCATTGTTTGACATCACACTAGTTTGTTTTGATGTATCAGCAACTATTCCATCCTCTTTTCTCGCATGCATTCCAACAGATTCCAGGTGCAAAAGATTGTGACTAAATTTGTTTTCCTTTTCACTTTCCTTGTCGTTACCCCAAACATTCTTGGCGGCAATTGAAGTCCTCTGGACCTCCACTAAAGCCTCATATTTCTTGACCAAGTCTTGATAAGGATTGGAGTTATTGATGGCTTTGGGGTTAAGTGAGTCCGGAAAACGTTCCTGCAAATATGCATAAATAAAATCAGTTTATAAAAACTCAAAAAATATTTTGTTTATATATTTACAGTTTATATATTTAAGATTGAGACTTATTATTGTTCGTAATTTTCACTGCCCACTGTAAGCCTAGTACTCAGATCAGGCATCATATTCGGATGGAACCAATGACATTTTTTCGAGTACAAACTGTTTGCTAGTGGCTGTACGCTGGGAAGTACTCTGATCGAAAAAAAAACGTTCCTGCAGATATATTTATGTATGTATGTATCTTTACCCAATTTTGTAGGACCTTTTTCGCGGATTTTCCTCCTCTTCCGCTAATGCAAGAGTCAAAAAACTCATTATGAGTAATATCCTGCTTGGATACATTTTTGGCTCACTGTTTTATAAGCATGTTATTTAATTTTCACAAAACAAAACGATGAGCAGTGTAACTGTACGGTGCGCAATTCACACCTCTGGTCACACTCACTCGTAATATTAAAAATTTTGCTACCAAAACTGTTTTCGGGTCTGAATACTAGGCTTCAAAGAACATAAAAATACCACGCACTTATAGCATATTGTGTAAAAAAGAGTTTTACCTTATATGAGCATCCAGGTGTACAGTTCGAAAATTTCGAGATGTTGTTCGTAACAAGATCCACTTCACTTTGATTTTCCAAATCAGTCATATTCTGTTCGTCTTCATAAATTTCTTCCATCTGATCTATGGAAGATTGCTCGTCGGCGTTTGTTCTACGTCCATCTATTACGCCTAAGCAGCGACTGCACATTTGCCCCTGTCTGAAACATCTCAATGTATCATTATTGTATTTTAATGTTATTATTATTACCCACCTTACGTCGTCCAAAAGAGAGAACTCATCATGCATGGACATCATTTCCTCATTCGCATTATTTTGAGAGAGACGGGTTTGAAGACCTTGGTTTTCTTGAACTAAATATTTAAAAGAAATGTAGTTAATACATGGAAAAAGCTCTTCACACAAAATTTGGTGACTCTTGCTTATAGTCCCTGAGATCTTGACAAAAAACAAAAAAGTTCGGACGGACAGACGTTTTCTGCTGTGAATACACATCCACTTCTACTACATCAACCACTTCACTATAGATTTGAGAGTTCACTTAATTTTATCTTCACAAAAAGCAAACAAAAAACAAAAGGAATTTACTTATGGCCATCAATTGCTCCTCCAATTCAGCGCAACGTTTCTGCTCTGCAAACAATTCTCGTTTCACAAGCTCCAAGTCACTAATTAGTTTAACCAGTTCTTCGTTGTCTTCGCCTTTTGCTGCGACTTTATCGCACGCATTATTAGCAACAACCAAATGGAGACTGTCATTTGGAGACAACAGTTCTTCGACGCCAGTTGAGTTTGCTATATCCCGATGCTCAAATGAATGTTGATCCGTTGCTTTACAATTAAAATCGAAAGACTACAAAAAACATGAATCATTATTTTTTATTTATTTGTAATAATATCATATATTAAGTATATTCGTATATGGGAATTTCTCCGAGAAAGTCCAATCAATTATATGTACAAAAAAAAACAAAGTTTGAAAGGTAAATTAGTTATAAAATTGTGATATAATGTTTCATTAAGTTTGATGAATCAAGAAATATTTGGTCCCGTGCGACCTCTAATTCAATTTCTTAAAACAGTACGAATTATATTTTGGTAAAATTATATTGCATAAACTTTCGCTGATATTTGAGTTTGAATCGATTGGTTATTTTATGCAAAAATCGCGAAAATATCTCGCCGAATGTGTATTCGTTTTATTTTGACCGTTCTACCGATCCCATTCGACGTCAGAGAATTGACCATATACAATTTTAATATTCTTAAAAGACCCTTTCGCATGCCAAAGCGTAGAGTAGACACCCTTGCAGTTCGAGCACCAGAAAACATTAAAAAATTTTCCACCTCAACGAAGTGCGGTGCAAATGATGATATCACGTGATGTGTACCAGTTGCCTTAAAGCAGAAATATTTCAGAAAGTTAGCACTGAGGTGGCTAAACTCGAATTCTAGAAGATTTGTCTTCAATAATGCAATATGTATTGAGGCACTGGTTAGAATTAAATCTGTGCAACGGACAGTGTGATTATCTAAGCATAATGCATATCTGGAGATACATATTTACAGTGCTAGAATGGCCATAAAATGGCAGACAACGCCAAAAAGTGTGACTTAGGTTGAAAAATCGGGGGAAAATTACATTAATTGCCTGACTATTTTTTGGGGAACTTTTATGGGGTGTAAATATTATAAAGTCAAGAATATTATGTTTTTTGGCAAGGATACGTATATGTTCGGTTACTAAGGCTTATGTTTTATTCTTGTTCAGGCTTACCTTCATATTATAGTCATTTCGAGAATTGATGACTTGTTCGCTGCGATCTCCAATTTGATTATCAGAAACGGACACGCTATTATTAAGCTCTTGTTGCAACCGATCGCCTCTCCGACGCTCAATATTTAGGGTCTGTTTTGACTCGTTTAGAAGTTGACTAAGTTCCTCACATCGAGCCTCCAATATTTCAGTATTAGAAGATATCCTACGTAACAAAAATACAAATCTGTTGAAACAAATTTTCAGTGGCTACATATCTAAAAAATCTTACATTTTAATCAGCTTTTTATCGGAGTTTTTCTCGATGTTGAGGCGTTGGTTTGCGCGTTCAAGGTCTTGAATTCCTACTTCCAGCTGTTCGTAAACTTTAAGCCGAGAATCATTCACTTCCGTCATAGCATTAATATGCTTACGAAGATGCTGTGAAAAAAAAAAATTTGACACCATATAGAACGGAAAATAGTTTCTTGCATTACACTTAAAGTAAACGCCACTCAAGCATAATTGTTTTTTGCGTTTCAACTTAATTAAACGGTCTAAGACAAAGAAAACTATTGATCGCTTACAAATAAATTACAGTCAAGTAAGTCTTAAGATTACCGAAGCGCTAAATATGAAGCACTTTATTAACATGAATGCCCTAAGTAAGCGACAACAAGTGACGACTTAAATTGTGAACGTCTTTCACGATGATCCTGTTAAATGTGGCCAGGAATCAATCGTACAAAAAACAAGATTAAACAAAATGTTCATTCGAAAAATTTTACAAAAGATATAGAAAATTATGTTAAAAATGCACGCATTTTAATAGAAATAAATAATAAAATCAAACAAAGAACCCTGAGAAATCTTTCGAGATCGTGCAAATATGTACAATTGGACCATTAGCTAAATCAAAGAACGGAAACGAATATGCACATACATACATACATATGTATGTATATGTGTGCCTAAAAGCGATTGGATTTTCAAGTTACTTACCACTATTTCACGCTCCTGCTCATCTCCCTTGCTTTTATATTCCTTAAGAAATATTTCTAGCTCCTTGTTTCGTTCTAGAAGCGTTTTTCCAAGCTCGGCAGCAAGCTGCAAGTCTGTGGAGGAAAAAAAAAACATTTTGTATCTCATAAAAATGGGGTTAAAGTCACGTAAGTAAAAAAAAACGAGCAGGAACGTTGTAAGTCGCTGCCTAAGCAGCAGCAGTAATTAATTTATTTGTTTATTGCAGCTAATGATTCAATCTGACGGTAATGGGTTTCCTCGCATCTTCAAAATTGTGAGCTCCACTGATTTGTGTATTTTTTCGTGGAGGTGAAAGGGGCATGGCTATATTTTAAATGTACGTACAATTTTATTACTGTAGCTCCTATGGTATCTGAGAACCAGAATTCACACAAAGCAAAGCAAAAGCAAATAAATTGGCGGTTGGCGTAGATGCGCCTTTGTTGTGTTGTTTGCTTAGTAGTAAAGAAACCATATTCTGTTGAAACTACTCACCATCGAGCATAAACTGCGACACATCCTGTGCATCACACGGAGACACACCGCGATTAGTTTCATCCATTTTAAGTCTGTGGATAAATAGAATTGGTAGATATTGTGTGTTGTTAATAATGATCAAATCTGACCCTAATTTCCTTCGTAGCTGTGTTTTTCTCGTATCTTTAAAATTGTGGATGTCACAGATTTTTACCCCCTGTAGAGACGGAAGGGGGCGGGCGAAATTTGGAAATACAATTGTATCACAGTGATATCCCAGCAGTCTGATTGGAAAACTTGGTTTCTCTAGCTCATACAGTCTCTGCGAACTAGCCGACAATTCAGATGGACGGACGGACAGACAGACATGGCAATATCGACTCGGATATTGATACTGATCAAGAATATACGTACATATACATATGCTTTAGGGGTCGGAAAAATTGCCTTCTGTGCGTTACATATGTATGTGAATATGTAAATCCACTTTCGAGCACAAATACAATATGCCCTATTTACCGTTCAAATTTCGGGTATGCTATCGAGCCTGAGCCCATTATTTAATTAAATATATTTAAACAAAATCTTTACAAAACATATAAATTTACATTCTTCTAAAGTGTAGAATCCAAATGCTGTTGGTTGTAAGGGATTACAAAATTTACAAAATGTATGTATGTACGTGTGTATACTCGAAAAGAAAATGACGCCGGTAAAATAACGGTTAAATTGAAAACAAATCATCGACAAATATTAAAAAAACACTGAGGTATGTACATATGTATGTGTGTGTCTATTAAAACGAGTAGATGAAACCTTTTCGAATCTCGAGTAGCTTATGAAAAATTAACACTTATGTATGTATGTATATTTTTTTTATGTTTTAGCATCTTATGTAAGTATGTACATATGTGTGTACGTGCATATGTACCCATGGATTGATGTCTCTAAATGTAAAAATGTTTTTCGGTCCAATTGTAATTTTTAATATGCTAACATATAAAAAAACGTACATACACAAACATTTATCAATTGGCAATGAAATGCATATAACTTACATTTAAGTATTTATGTTTGGTGTAAGCTTATGATAAACATTTTCTTATCTTTATTATGTTTATGTTTATTTTGTATTATGTTTATTCCGTTTTAGTTATACAACAGAAACGAACACAACACTTATTCTTCTGGAGCCCTAATAATGCACGAAAGAATATAAAACTGTTCGCAACAGATGTAGGGTACTCCTGAAACAGGTTTGGGTTCACTTTCGATTACTCGTGAAAATGTTAACTAATGTTAGAAATTTTCATAATTAAATGTCCCCATTTTCTCAACAGCTAATGATAACAATAGCCAAGTTTTATTCTGAACAAGAAATTTTCAACCAACAATCGGCGTGTGAATGTATTAGACGTGTTTGATGTTAGCTTAGGATTACTACTACTACTAATACTACATTTTCTCTCGGGTCAGTGGAAAATGTTCAGGAAACAGCACAGAATCCTTGCTACTGAAGGTCGGCACTTTGTATCATTAAAGTCTGTATTATATGTCTTCTATTTATACCCGGTACTCGAATCGCATATTGTAAACGCAAACGTAAAGAAACGCTTTCGTTAGCCACGTCCACCCACTGCCTCCAGCAACACGATGCCAGCTGCTCATTATCTTGCTCTCTCGAACACTTTGACTCGTGCAGTGATGATGATGACAGTGATGACAGATGCAGAAAATATGTAACGTTAACTCTTCCAGTACCGGGTATAAAAAGCGGATAGCAATACAAAAGACAGCTCTGGTCACTACAAAGAGAACGAAAGAGCCCACTAAAACAAAATTGTATCAATCCATTGCCTTTGACTTTGACCATAACTCCGACTATTGCATCTTTGAATCTTTCGAAGGTGAAAAATACGTCGCGTTTCTTTTTCAAATTGTAACAATCTGGCGCAATCTGGGAATATGCAAAGGGTATTGTTAGGTGTGTTTGTTTATAGAAAGCTCCTTATATTGTATATGTGCTTTGTGAATGTTGTCGGCGCTTACTTCGTTTATTTTAATCGAACACTAAAACGCAGACTCATCCCAACATGTTGCCAACACTATCTTCTTAAGTCAATCGCAGTGTAGCAGCCCATAAACTATACATTCAAATACTAAATCGAACTCTTATCCATACTGTCCTAACAGCTACCTTCATCTGACGTTTTTGGATGGTGCCAGTGTGAATCTGTGTTTCATATCTGTCATAAACTGTCTATATAGAGTCTGTAACTAAGCAATTCAGGTCTAGGATAAGCCTAATGGAGCGGATAAGCCTTAAAGCCTTAAGCCTTTTCCGAACAAATTCTATCGTGGATGGCCTGCTCTATGAAGTATCCGAGAAATCGATGGTGAATTTTTTTTTGCCAGTGTGAGAAGGGTATTTTTTGAGTGGCTGTCTCCCCCTCAAGAATACCATATATGTAATTCTGCGATATTTTGCCTATTACAAGTGATTTAGTCGATAAATGTTAGTTTGAAAACGGGCTCACTAATTTTCCGAAACAATTTTTTTTGGATGTAAATAAAATAAAATATTTCAAAGATATAACAAAAAATTCAATTGTGATTGTTGATAAGTTTTGTGAGATGTTAGCCGATGAAATCTTTTTAACTTGGTAATTCGATTGCGTGACCTTAAGTTCATAAATACATATTCATAACAGTTTGAAAGTGCATCAAAAAACAACCTCTTACATACTTACACATATGTACATACCACATGTCGAAGGATGATAAGTAATACACATTTATTTGTATGTATGTTTTGGAAAGTCATAAAATAAGAGTCCTGCTCTTTATCATGAATAAAATAGGTTGAGCTAATTTTTCGTCTGAAATACTTAGCAGCTGCAATAATTTGCTCAATTTTAATGAAAGCTCCAGCTTTGTTTTCGCGATGATTATTTCGAATTTTGTATATGTTTATTCACATGTACATATAAACTTGGATCAATGTTGCGCATATTCAAAATAACAATGAAACCAATCGGAAATAATGAAAGGTTTGGTGTTTCTTTATAGCCTTATAACAAGCACAACGCTACAAATGCATACATACAAATGAAAATTTACGTTTTTAATGTGTACCTTTTTTGTAATAAAAAACGTAATGAAGCACATAACATGTACATAAATGTGTATGTGTGTACATATATATCTATTTTTCAATCCTTAAATCTATTTTCTAAAGTAATTAATCTACATTGTCACAAATATGTATGTATGTACATTTAGATTTGAATACAATTCTTTCTTCTGCATTTAGGTCAAGGTTGACACATCCATGTAGATACAGTAAACATACATACTTATTATTCGGGCATCCTGACCACTCTGGTTTGAACACCCATAACGTGGCGTACGTTTAACATAAACAGGAAAAGTTAATTTTATATCAAAGCTCAACATTTTGACTATCTGTAGTGTAATGTGTGAAGTGTCATTTTCTTCTATAGTACTCCTATAAAAATTAACTAATGCAAAAGAGTCACTCAAAGCATCACTTTGCATATCCTTGTCCATTTTGCTATCAAATAAGAACATTCGTTCAGCTCCAGCTGTATTTGAACCCCAACCAAACACTGTGCTGATATATGTATGCCTAACAGCTGGATTCACACTTTTCTCATCAGAGTAAGGCCTGAGAGTACATGGGTGTACAATAACATAAGTATGCAAAGAAGCATATGGACTGGCCTGTATCGCAGTGTCGAAAAAATTGTCACTCCTGTACTCTCATATCCAAATGCTGGGCTTTCTGGGAATTCTTCCAACTAAATAATGTGTAATGAGTCGTCTACGAACAGCCCCAAACTACTTTTAGACCGAAATAAAATGGTTTCTTCTACGCTCGTTATGTTCAATAATTTTAAAAGATTTCAGTACACAAATAAAGCCTTCTGATGGTGACTTTTTTAAATTGATTTTTTTTTATTTTTTTTATTTCTTTTAAATACTGGCCCACTACTTTTATTTTAATGAACATTCTTGATGGGTATTCAAGTCCTTTAAGTATTCTTAAAGTCGTAGAAGTAGAATGGCGGCACTTCTATTCCATTGAGAACTGCTGTTTATAATTGATAGGGTCAGAAACGTTTCCTTCATTGCTTCTAATCTTTCCTTAAATAGCGTTGCTCTGCTAATATTTTGAATGCGAATAGGTGAATAGTTCCATAATCAGGTAGCATTTATTAAAAATTGTTTTCGGAATGCTCAAGCTTGTACCTTATAGTTCAACGTTCTATTTGATGAAGCAAAGTTTAATTTATCATCTATGTAAGTCAAATTGAGAAATAATCGGTTTGTCTCTAATTGTAAATGTTATTAAATGTTACTTTGAGTTTTCTTTGAGAGTCAGCAACGCAATGTCCAATGTTCTCAATTCCATAAAATAAAACAGGTGTCAAATATTTCTTAGCTATCATTATTTTGATACCATTATTTGGTAAGTATTTTTGTGGGTGTTCTTCTAGTTGTTTAATGTTAAAAACATGCATAATTTACCTAATAATACCTTTTCCACCATTCAGCTTAATTATAGTTTTCTGTAATATTTACTATTGATGTAGATCAGCTTATTTGTCCCTTGTGACCTGACCTGACCTGAATTATCGTTTAGCTGTGACTTTAATTGATAACGGATTTTTGAAAAAAAATTAAAGAATTGATTTAGGCCCATATTCATTTTTTCCTTTGGGAACCATAATTATCTACGCAAGATTTTAGATTTTTAGAAATTTGGACATTTATTGCCTCGAGTCAGATGGCACTTGACTTAATTTTTTAGAACAGATTCAAGGACAGCACACAAAAAGCTAAAGTTGTCAAAATAATAATTATATACCACTTGAGTTATCTACTTTGCCGACGCACTAGTAGGATTTGAGCCAGTAATTCTTACTGGATGTGGTCTTTCTATTGAATTTAACCATTTTAGCTAGAAGAATATTTTATCCAACCTCCTGTGATATCACTCTTTGACATGTACACAAATTTCCAAATAGAACAATGTTTATTTATATATATTTAAATATTATAACAACTGTATATATTTTTCCAGAATCTGCGTAATTGTAACGTGAAATAAATATTGAGCAAAACAAGCTTCAATTCTTGAGGAATTTCAAACCGAATAAGCACTATCTGGAAGATTTCATAAACCCATCCGGATAACTAAAGGCCATATTGGCTTATGCGTTACCTTAAGGGGGCCGGGCTGGCCTAACCTAAGCAAACCAATATTGAACATGAAAATAATTGTATCCGTATAAACCGCCCTAAAATGTTTCCCGTCGTATTGAAATCGCATCAAATTTGGACTAGGAGAATTTAGGCTTGACATACTCACGACGAAAAATGGGAGCCAGTACTTCCAATATCAGTTATCCTATGGTAGAATCATCAGGAGCTGCACTGAATAGTACAGAAAATTCGAATGGAAACATGTCGGTGCTGTTGCCCATGAGCATGGCGGGTATGGTTACAGCAGGAGCGGTTGGCATGACGACTGGCAGTGGAAGTGGTATGAACGCCGCACACTACCATCGAGATCAAAGGCGGAAGCGTGTTACTGGGTTTGCGACGCTAAAGAGAAAATTTATACGGCGAAGACGTTCATCAAAGGCATATGATCACGCTCGCGTTCTGCGAGACTTTGTGGCGGACTGGGCCCCTATGGAGCTGGCAGCTCTTTGCGAGGAGTTCGAAGCCTTGTCGGCTCTAAGGGACTTATCGGTTAGCATAAAAACAGCTATTGATTGTATTCATTTTTAAAATTTGATATATTTCATAGGTTCAAGCTGAATTGGCGCGACCTCCGGCAGCGACATACAAACAAGACCTTGCTGCTCTTTACGATCTTAATTTTTGCACTGATTGTGATCTGGTTTTTCGCGGTACTATTTTTCCGGTGCACCGATCAATATTATCAGCTCGTTGCGCATATTTTCGTGACTTACTCTCAGGATGTCCTGGTTTCGGGGCACGCATATGTCTAGAACTGCCCACTTCTCCTATTGACGTGCAACTTTTTTCATCACTATTGCGTTACTTGTATACTGGCGATCTGTGTCCGCACGATCCGAACATAGAGATTACCGTGTTGCGTCAGCTGGGGGACGACTTTGGCTCACCAAATCCTCTCGATCATGATCTACGCTATTTGTTGGAGACGGGTGATTACGCAGATGCAGCACTTGTTTTCACAGCAGATGGTAACAACGACAATCTGCGACAAGACTCTGGAACCTCGGAGTACGGTTTTCGACCAAAGGTCGAACTTCCATGCCATAAAGCCATCTTAAGTGCGCGTTCACCATTCTTTCGTAATCTAATTGCGCGTCGAACGCGAAATATTGACGAGTACGTTGAACGTTCCTTACACGTGCCCACGCGAATTGTATTAGACGAAACAGTTATACCGAAGAGATATGCGCGTGTACTGCTTCAATCCATTTACCTTGACACTGTTGATTTGACGCTGATTTTACGCGGTGTTGGATCGGGAACGTCGGCAGGATCACTGGGAGAAGTGCATGCCTTAACCAACACAGGAAGAGTGCGTCCAACGACATTAGAGGAAGCCATGGAGCTATATCAGATTGGACGCTTTTTGGAGCTTGATATTTTGTCGCAGGGCTGTGAGGATTTAATACTCGAGTGGCTGTCCCTTGATACTTTACCAACAGTGTTAAAGTGGGGCTGCCAACCCCATGGCTCCGCGTGGGTGTTTAGACAAGCTTGCCAATACTTGCGAGAAGAATTTACCGCTGTTAGCGCCTCACCTGTGCTGCACCAATTAGATAAAACGCAACTGCTACATGTTCTGCAAAGTAATTTTCTACAAGCTTCTGAATTGGAGATTCTGCAGGCTGTTCTCAAATGGGGTGAGCAGGAGCTCATTCGCCGTATGGAAGATCGTGAACCAAACTTGTTGTCACACACAGCCCACTCAGTGGCACGCAAGGGCGTCAAGAAACGTGATCTGAGTGATGTTGAGTTGCGAGACATAATATCCGAGTTATTGCCCTTAGTGCGTATAGACCATGTTCTACCACCGCATAGTGAGATACTCTGCCAAGCAATTCGTCGAGGTCTAGTGAGTACGCCACCGTCACATATGATTGGAGGTGAACGAGAAAATTTACGTATTAATGCCTGGATACGTAGTGGTAGTAATCAGGGACTCTTTGTAAGACCGCGTCTCTTTATGCCGTACTTCGAGGAAGTAAAGGCCTTGTTGAAGGATAGATTGTCTTCATCACACCACCAGGCTGAACTCATGCGTATGCGCAGATCTCGACACCCGCCAGATATTCCTGATACCTTGTATATGGTGTCCCACATGAATGCAGCGGCTAACAATGGACTTCGCAGTGGTGGTAGTCGTGGTACTATCCATGAAAATATTGACATGATAGTGGGGTCGGCTGTTATACCAGCACCGGATAACCAAACCTTACTGGCAATGCGTAAACGCGAACATAAACTTCGCCAGTCACCCATGTGCCAGCGTGCATTGCTACTGCCCCTTTCATCAAAGCATGAAATTGATCGACAAATTCGACTTCGGGTCGTAAGGGAGTTTAACCTCCCTGATGAAGTATCTGATATACTGGAAAACTCACACCAATCCAGCCAGAGAAGTGGTGATATGCACAAAGAAGACCCGTGTGGAGTTGCGTCGACCACTCAAAGCGAAGACAGTTTGCTTGAAGATGAAAATCAAAGTCCACCGCCATCACCAGCGGCTACTGGCTCAGTTCCACGACAGACAACAGTTGGATCTTCATTTTTATCGTCCTCGTCAATGGGATCGTCAGCAACATCAATCTGTGCCACCGATGAAGTACACCCTTATTATAGTCGTAATCTCACTTTCCCGCGTCACCAGTCGAATGGGCTTCTTGGTGTCGCCAGTATTTTCACAACCAGCTCTGGTCCTGCGCTTCAGTGTAGCTATGCACGTATTTCCGCATCAGCACATCCACGAAATGAACTACCGGCATTAATAACCGAGGGGGACTTTCGATTTCCCCATGGGAATTTAGGCTTGGACATGAATGCTGAGAACGGCGCATGTGCATTAGACTCTGGCAATAGTCATCTTTCAGATATGATGCCGGATGTGGCTATGGCCACCGCATCGCTAGGTCAGCTTAATTTGTCGAATAGTACTGGAAATGCCAGCGGCCGTAGCGTCAGCAGCAATAGCGACATGCCAGAAAGTTTACAATTAGATTTGGGCGATGGTCCAAGTCCTCGCGTGATTGGAAACGTTCCAAATGCATTGAACCTGCGAAGTATAAACGTTAGTAAACTCATTATCGGTATTTATCCCTAAATAACATTAAAATTTCCTGATTTTCAGCACGCTCTGCCACAGAGCAACTATCACCACTTCATGCAGCGCTCTGGTTCGCCATTTGAGATGATGCGTCATGGACAGTTATCGCCCACACCACACCCTCCAAATCCCGGGTCATTCAACTCTGGACCACCCAGGTTTTTATAGAGGTTGCGAGTGGTCCCGAATTCGGGGCCTCTTATTTTGGCATGCCTTTCTGAACAAAAATGAAACTAAAAATTATATTTAACAATCTAGATAAATAAAATAAACTCTTAAATAAAGTTATCTGTCATTCCTTTCTTCGGCATGGGCACCATCATGCTTGACAGGGGGAAATAAAACAAGGAAAAACAAACAAAAACAATTGTAAGCCAGGTCTCGAACCAACCGCCCCCCAAAGTCTGGAGTGGCGGCCCATCACCACACTTTGATTTGATTTCGGCCGGCATAATGCCGGTTTTGTCCAATAGGAAACAACGTAAATATCATAATTTGCCCTAGTTCTGGTATAAGAATCGAGAAAAGGTTCCTTATCTGGCATCCTTGGCCTCGAAGGCCCTTTGGTAGCCAGCCAGGGCAGAGAGGGAAGCTTTTCCCAGTGGCAGCGGCCCTGGGACCAAGTCGAGAAGGGAAGGTGGACAAGAAGGCTCATCCCCCATCTAAGCCCATGGCTACAGAGAAGGAGAGGATAGCTATGCCACTATCTATGCCAACTGCTTTCAGGGGAATGGATGCTTCAAGAATTACCTGTAACGCTTTAGGCCTGCTGACGACCCATACTGCAGTTTCTGCGGGCACCTATTCTTCTCCTGCCGCGCTCTCGCATGAACGAGCGCAGCTCCTAGAGACAAGCCCACAAGTCAGCGTGGACTCCTCCATAGGGCCAATGACAGCGGACGAGGAAACAAGCGACCCTGTTGCCAACAAGGCAGAAATCATTATCAAGCAGCTGCGATGGCTGAAGCGAAGAAGGGTTAGATCACTGCAGCTGAATTAAATTGTACCCCTTAGCCACACGAAGTAATGCCTAGTGAGCATCCTCCGCGGAGCGTGTTCACCCAACCAACCAAACGCTTCCTCAAAGCGGACAATACAATGATGGATAGGCAAGTTATTATGTTAATGAATATCGACAGTGATTCCTCGATTATCTTAGAATGGGTAAAGAACGGCATAGGTAAAAGCCCGAACGGTTCGAAAGCGGTTCGGGTTCGTGCGCTCAAAAAAAGATGAGACTAGACAAAAGTAACCATATCAAATATCCGAAGCTTTAACTAATTATTTAACTGTTTAGACCCATATAATACCACATAAGTATTGACCGATAGTTTTGGCAGCTCAACTGCAAAGAATATAAAACGAAGAGGGACATGGTGAGTTGCGTTTAAACTCGCCACTTCGTTTATACGAAGTTTTATTTGTATTCTTAAAAATTTTTCGAATTTTACAATTTTAAATTTGTCTTACATTTGTCAGCCATTGATTCTGATCAATAACATATATGTATTCTTTATATGGTCGGAAACGGTTCCATCTGTCTGTTATATTTTTCGACCACAAATTATACGAAGTCACTTCGTTTGCATCGTTCCCACGATTAATCGAGATAGCCGGCCTTTTAGCAACAACAGGAATACCCTATCTGATTTTAAATTATCGAAAGTCAACCCCGAAGAATTTGTGATAGATGATTTATTTTTGTGGAAGTGATTAGTATTTTCTATAATTTGAGAAAAACACTGGTTGCATACCTAGGTAGTTACATATTTGTATTTACTTATTTATAGATTTAGAACCTTATCCAATAAACTAAAACAGTAACTATTTCTAAAATCATTCTCTATAAGCTAAGAGGAAAAAAAAACACTTGTCAAACAACCAAATGGACACTACACAAATTATCAAATGTGTACAACACTGTGTTGCATGTTTTATTGAAAATTAAACATTTTCAAAACGTTTGTATTCATACACATAATAATGTTTATCCCTGTGTCAGTGCAGTTTTGCAATATGAATATTTACGTATGTGCAAATGTACGTACATATATGTGTGTATTTACACAAAAATATTGATATTAACGAATGTAAATGTTTTTACGTACATACATACGTACATATGTTAGTACATACATACGTACATATGTTAGTACATATGTACATACATGTTATATCTGTAGTCACCAAAAGTGTCTTGTGTTATAAGCACAATAGTTAATCACTATCAAACTAGCGAGCACCGGATGAACAGGGAGGAACAGGGCAGGGAAATTGATCACAGATGATCACAAAATTGCAATCTATTTAAAATTATTTATCTATTGAAATTATGCAGTTGAAGTTCTCAATTAATATAAATGTCAATAAACCCAATTTACATATTATTTGATCAAATGGAAATATAAGCCTTAAGGGGAATTAGCAATCGTAAACTATTAGCTTGAAATGCTTGAAAATCTTGTAAGCTTTGGTTGTTTTTTTTGTTCGATTAATTGGTAGGATTACTGTATGTATTATATCTGTATGAATGTATGTGTATGTAAGTATTATTGTATTTATTTATGTACATATGAACATACATATAAATGAATGTCAATGTCAGTTGTTACATCCACATGATTTTATAACAAGTATGACACGTTAACTACTGAGGCTGTCTACTTTGTCTGCTGATTGCTGAGAATTACCTTATTCGACTCCACTGCGATCTCATCATTCACGGTACTAGAACAGTTAAGGGGTATATTCGATTTGTGGTCGAAACGATGTGCGTGATACACCGAAGGAAGCACATGTACATATGTATTTATTCTGGATCAGCATCATTAGTCCGTCTTGTTTGTTGCCTAGTTCTCAGAGACTATAACCACTAAGAAAACAACGCATAGGCTGTAGGCTGTAAATCGACTAAAGGCTTGACTGTATTAAAAGTCTGTCCGATTGGCTCCCAGGGCCTTCGGGTCTTGTTGCTGATGGCTTCGACTGAGAGTTTGGCTCTCCTCGCATTGTTCGGTGTTTAAACGTGTAAGAACAATTAGCGAATTTAAAATGAGATGTCATATCATCTTGTATTTATACCAGGTACTCTAAGAGTAAATAGGGTATAGGGTATATTGCATTTATAGTCGGAGCAAAGTGCATAACGCACAGATGAAATCTCTGATTTCAGCAGCCGTCCAATACTTGCTCATTGTCTCGCGCTCGCACTCTCTGCCTCGTGCAGAGAGGAGGGGCGAGCTAAAAGGCCGTGTTGGTGTAAGACGTGATGTAGATGTAGAAAAAATGTAAAATTTTAAATTTGATAAAGATTATAAGGTGACATATGTACATATATATGTATAACACTAAGGTGACAGGTAATGACTGAGTACCGGGTATAAAAGTTGTGACGCGTGCAAACGCGCCTCGCCTCGTTCTTCCTCGTTAAATGTGCGTATATTGGTGCACACATTCAAATACGAAACCACCTAAAAGCGAATAATTAACGAGTTTAAGTTTCGGTGCTGATCCAGGGTGTCATCATTACATCGGCTCCCCTTTCGAGGATAATACTCTTGTCAGTATGCATGAAAACAACAACATACGAAGAGTCGATGGTCTTCAACGCAGCGGACGGCGTCATCTAATTTAACTTGCTATGGCAGTGCGGCAAAAAAAGTGTGAGAACCGGACAACCGCCAGACATTTTATTTCGCCAGTTTTGAGTTTGCTTGGTACTAGTACTCAGGTCCGGAAAAAGTGTACTCTAGCAAAATCCGGGATGATATTCTTATAAAACCTTAAAGAAATTTTTTCGAGCGCAAACTGCCATAGAAAATAGTTTTCGATTGGCACTAGCAACTCGAAAAATATAGAATTTTTTCTCTATTCCGTCAGGGTTCCTTGCAAAAAAACGATGTAAACATTCTAAAATGGAGAGAAAGCTAGGATGCACGTTGTGAGACGCGTCGTACGTGTCGCAATTTTTATACCCGGTACTCAGTCAGTATATACATACATATGTACACATGCATACGCATGTGTGTATGCATGTGACCTTATGTTTTTTTTCTAATTGTACTTTTTACATTTTTTCTACATATGCCATCTACATCTACATCACTTCTCAAACCACACCACCATTTTAGCTCCCCTCCATCAGAGCATCACACTGCACGAGGCCAAGTGTGCGAGCCAGACATAATGAAGCAGTCTCTCTACTGTATGGTTAGTGACTTGGCACACAGCAACGATATTTTTTGGCACAACTGATTTTAAATGATCTCCACGAAATTCTTTCTGCAACGAAGGATATCCACGATTAAATTCCTGATAACGTGTTTTACATTGGCAGTGCATGGTGCTTCATCAATCCAAGTTGCACGAAGCTTATCAAATCATTATTAGCTTAAAGATCAACCGAAAATATGGTAGAAATGTTCTACTAGAAAATCATGAACAATAGGTTTTCATGTGCTAATTTCATTTTATTTTTCTTAAAATAATTTTTAGTTAATCGAACGTGACCGTACAAGAAAAAGTTAAATAAAGGCTTATACCAGAAAACAACAGACTTTTTAATGTAAATTATTACTGGGTCCATGCTAAAAGTTCCAAGGTAACTCAACCAGAAACTTAATCGAATAAGAAGTTGTCAGGTGAGGAGAAAACGAGAAAAAAAGCATATGGAAAACACGTTGTTTGCATCCACATATGGGCATTTCAATGGCGAGGTCTAAGCTCACGTAGGCCAGAAAATAATTGTAACTCTATAAAGCCTTCTAGTTTATATCCATGCGACAGACGCTTACATAACATTTGTAGAAAGAAGGAACGCTGTGAGAAGCTACTAATGCAGAGTAAATACTTTTGTACCCGGTACTCGGAACGGCATACAGTCAAACACACAGTACATACAAGCACGATAATGAAAACAACTGTGCTGGGTTCCAGGCCTTTCATCTTTATATTATAAAGTCGTCATTAGTCGTATATTAGTCGTCAAACAAGACGGACAGAAAGACATGGATATATGAATATCGACTCGGCTGTTGATGCTGATCGAGGATATACCAATATAAATATGTACTTTATGGGCTCGGAAACGCTTAGTTCTGTTACATCACTTCAATCACAAAACTAATATACAGGTACAGGTTCCAAAAAAGTTGAAGAAAGTCGATTGATAAAGAATTGCAGAAACTAATTGGAGTTCGGATATGGTTGCCACAGAAATCGCTCGAGAAATGGGAATTAGCAAAACAATTTGGCGTTGCCACAGGGTTCCGAGGGAGTTAATTTTCTAGTTGAGAACTTAGTTAGTGTGGTGTTTATTTAGTCTCGGTTTTGGTTTGGTTTTGAATTATTAGCGTAAAAGAAAATGAAGATTTGATTTTAAAAGCTTTACTTTTATAATTTCAAAACAAAAAACAAAAGCAAATAGAATAGAAACCTTGCAAAACTGGCATCTCAGATGCGCCTCGGTCTTGCTTTCCCAATCAGACGATGCGTATTAGAGTCCTACACGAATCCATTTAAAACAGGAAACGTATCACAGCTTTCCAACTTTTCGAGCTCCGTTTTCTTATTTGTGATGATGAGAACCAAGAACAATTTGGTGTTGGCGATAACATTCGAATGGCATTTTTCGCTGAACAAAAAATCAGAAATAAGGATGCTGTAACTCGACTAAGAGATTTTCTGCATTTAGACATACATATGCCTATACATATATACATATGTATATACATATACATATTGAAAATGTATAAAATATATTTAAAAAGTGTAATTTTATCAAAATATGTATGTATGTACATAAGTACTTTTTACTTGCATCCTATTATAAAATACCTGCTGTACGGATATACAAACTAATTTGAGTTGAGGTCTTAAAAACTATGAAATGACCGAGGAACGAATACAATTTTTTAATTTTCGTCCTTTATGTATGTTTTCAGGTTCAACGATTGAACTCCCGGACACGGAAACTACAAATGTGAATTTATGATTTAAAAAAACACAAAAAAAAAATCCGTCCACTGATCCATCAAAAGACGATTACAATTTGCTGAACGTTTTCGCATACAGCGAACAAAATGATAAAATGCTGGAACTATTATCTGCTTTTATTTTTCTGTGTGTGGAAAAATGTTGCCACTTTAACCGATGACACACAAAAAGAATCTGTCGTTTCAAATCGCTACAATACGTACAAATACAAGCCGCAAACAAACTTAGCCCCACAACACTTATCCAATAAGGCTTCGCCAAGCTCGTATGTTCAACATGAACCCCATTTGCATACAGTTGAATCATCGGTAACAACTCAAAAATCATCTTCTGTGGGACTACAAGTCTCTAATAATGCTGCATTCCATACTGGAAGTGGTAGTGGATATTCGACTCATTTAGATCCACATTTGCATAGGAGTTCATACAATCTCTTAAGTGAAGCCATGTCGCAGGCTGTCAGCAATGAATTCAGTAAGTTGGTAACAATTAGTAAATATTTATAAAAAAATGCATTTATCTCAAACACATTTTAGAGCTAATTTGCTATTTATTTTTGCTATAAACTAAACCGAAAAGAGGAAATTTTGCTTATTTATGTATATAGATTTGCTTGTACTTGTCTTTAAAATACTAATAGTTTTTGCCTCTTAACAGATTCAGTTGGAAGTGGCTCTGCAGATGGAGCATGTAACCCAGAAGAAATTGACTGCTATAATGGAAATGTTCAGGATCGTTTTGGCATGGAAGCAATTGCAAGCTTGCATCGTCAACTTGATGATGATGATAATGGAAACATTGATTTGAGTGAATCAGATGATGTATGTTCTATGCTTTTATGAAAAATCATTCAAAATTTGATTGTTACTATATAATAAGTCTTTTTTTTTTAACAATAATTCCACTAGCACCACTTTCCAATTCGTGGACGAAGGGGTTCTACTGAAATGCTAAATCCAACTGAGGTGTATATATTACGTGACTGGCAATATTCTGGCGACACATGTGATTTTCGATTTCCAATCAGTACAATATTCCTCCCGAAAATCGGCTAGAATCTGGCATTTCTATACCTGGTACTCAAAGATTTAAAGGTGTATATTGTGTTTGTGCTCGAAAGTGGATGTACTCAGAAGGAAACGTTTCCGAGCCGAACATCAATAGCCGAGTCTATGTCTGTGTGTATGTCTGTCCGTCTTGTTTGTCGCCTTGTTTTCAAGAACTATAGGAACCCAATTGTATTCGAAGACCCATGTGATAGCACACTGAATTTTTTTTCAAAGGTATAAACTCTGACATCCACACTGAACATACATTTTATTTATGTATATACTTACGTACATACTGACTGAGTTACGAGAATAAAATATGACGAGTCTCACAACGTTCCTCCTCATTTTCCATAGATGTATACATATGTACATATAACTTTAAATATTTCGAAAAATATACATATGTATAGATATAAGTATTTCATTTAACAGTTAAATGGCCGAAGATTTTTTAAAAATTGTTTTTGAAACGTTTATTTTTTCTTTCTTTTTCTTTTAGTTTTTGCGGGAAGAACTGAAGTATGACTCAGGCTATGAAAAACGGCAAAGGGCGTTTCATTTTAATGATGACATGCATATATCAGTCAAAGAGTTGTGGGAAGCTTGGCTAAGATCAGAGGTTCATAACTGGACTATTGAACAGACTACAGACTGGTTGGCTCAGTCTGTGCAGCTCCCACAATATGTAGAACTCTTCAAATTGCATAAAGTTACTGGTGCTTCTTTGCCAAGGTATGTCGTAAAAATATAGAAAATAAGAAAAAAGTTATGGTCATTGTTAAGACAAGAAGAAACGTTGTGAGACACTATCAACAAAGCATCACTACCTGTATCCCATGTACTCAGTCAGTACATGTACATATGTATATGTACATATTACATATGATTTTAGTCGAATTTTAAATATTTTATCTGTTTACTTTTTTTTGCTACTCGTGCCATCTACATCACCTCTGATTTGTGGGGGGAAGGGGGCCCGGCCAATTTCAGAAATAACAGTAACAGTATGTATGCAAAATTTTTGTTGATTCGGCTTTTATAGTCCTGGTACTAGGTGTTCATCAAGACGGGCTGGTACTAGGTCCTGGTACTAGGTGTTCATCTAGACGGGCTGACGAAAAGACAGACAGACAGTCATTGGCTCGGCTATTGACTATTGAATCAAGAATACATACATATATACATATACATATTTCATAGTTTTGGTAGCATGCTTCATTGTGATTGCCAAATTGAACGGGCTTCAACTCGGATTGAGACAGGGGATGAACCAGAGCTGTGGGCGTGAATAAAATATATAAACTAGCATTCAATGTTAGGAGAGTTTATTCCGACTAATAAATACTACAATGCATGTATGTCAGGCAATTGTAATTAATAGATTCAACTCATTTATCTTTAACTAAATTTTTAAAATGTATTCGAAAATAGATAGCGATAGATGGCATATTTAACTAAAATAAACACAGGTAAACAGTATAAACTTAAACTTCAACTAATTCATCCTTAGCTTAATGCTTAATGTTTATTCGCCAAAGAGAATAATATTTAACTCAAAAATTAAAGTTTCCAAAGAATAAACATATCAACGGTATGTTTAAACTTAAACATATTTTCAGTTAGTAAATATCTTAAAATCATATGCACATTTTTGTAATAGCTATTTTTTTTGCTTATAGGTTAGCTGTGAATAACTTGCAGTATGTCGGCAATGTGCTTGGCATCAAAGACCCCATTCATAAGCAAAAAATATCACTAAAAGCAATGGATGTAGTGCTCTTCGGTCCTCCACGAGGTAAGAAAACAACACTGCAACGAACTGAAAACTTTTAAATGTATTTTGCAAGGCACAAAAAACTGTTTGTGTGAGACGAAGCACACAATCTTTTTTAAAGACCCAACAAAGAAAAAAAATGCTTTGTTATCCATAGTTATACATTTATACATTTTATAGAAACCGGTACACGTTGGAAGGACTATATATTGGTGACTCTGTTGTTAAGCGCTATTATTGGCTGTTGGTATGCTTACCAGCAAAATAAAAATGCCAAGCGTCACCTACGTCGTATGGCTCAGGATATGGAAGGATTGCAGAAAGCCGAACAAAGTCTACAGGAGATGCAGAAGGTTTGTTGGTTTGATAAAAATAATTTTAAATAATTGTTGAATATTGTAGGAACTAGAGCGTGCTAGAATGGAACAGGAAAATGTGGCAACGGAAAAAATGGACCTAGAACGGCGTCTTAAAGAGGCCCCCTCTCTTAGCTCATCAAACTCAGACCTAGAGGTGTTGCAGTTGAAAAAAGAAGTGGAAATGTTGCGAAATGAATTGTCGCGGGCCGAATTCGAGTTGGTTGATAATTGCTGGGCCCCACCTCCGCAACTTCAATCGTGGTTGCAATACACATATGAACTAGAAAGTAAGAACCATCAGAAGAAGCGCGCATCTGCAGAGAAGCAGCTTCAGTCAGCAAGAGAGGCTTGTGAAAAATTGCGTAAGAAGCGTTCGAGTTTGGTAGGAGCGTTTGTGTCTACCCACGGAAAAAGTATTGATGACGTTGATCGTTCTATTGTTGAGGCCCGCAATGCTCTAGGAGAAGTAACAAATGAACTACAAGAGCGATTGCATCGCTGGAAACAAATTGAAACGTGCCTTGGAATAAATATCGTAAATAACAATGGGTTGTCATGTTTGGAAAATGTGCTGTATGGTCGCAATGGTGGTTTCCAAAGTTCGATTGGAGGAAGTGGTTCAAAAGGCTCAAGAAGTAAGCATTTATCTGTTTTTAATATTGTTTGGTACAAGTCGAAATTTACCATGAATATTCTTTGTCTGTTTAAAAAGCACGAATTACTAGCAGTACTGATGACCTAGATGACGAGTCTGTGCAAGGTAAGCTGAACTTTGAGAACTTTTCGCTGCTCGCAACGGAATAAACCTGCTGCGTCCGATTGCACAACACAACTCATCAATAAATACAAACAAACTGACAACTTACAGACAGTAAAAAACAGAGCTCGATTGCTTTTTACTTATTGAGTCTCAATGAAATTGTTGAAAAATAAGAGATTCTATGTGTGTTTATCATTCATGTATTAATGATTATGTATAAAATTGTAATATAGATTTGTATCTTATAATTGATGAAGCTAATATTGCATCCATTATGTTATATGAAGATATTTTTCAAAAACAAGCACAAATGACGTGATATACTTTGAAAATATGCACGTATTGAATGTACTTATAAATAATTTACAATAATCGTAGTGTGTTAAATAAATTAAACGCTAATCTTTTTTAATGGCTTGCCGCTACCTTCAGAACTTTTTATTACTTTGCAGAGAGAATACATCTTAAAATATGCCATTCAGTTAAATTGTAATAGTTGATTGTCTTCCTAAATTTAATACATTTACATCAATGTATACTAAAATGTATAAAATTATTGTTAAAATATGTGTTAACTTTTTCTCTGACACTTAACCTACAGAACTGAACCAGACAAATTGCTCATATTGGACGGAACTTTTCTAAATGTTGACGTTCCCAAGACAGGAAAAGTCGAAATAAACTAGTTTATTTTTGTTTATATATTATTCGTATAGGCTCGTTTATATAGAGGATTCTTTGGATGGAGGAACAATATTTAAAAGTCCCTTTCGTTTATTTGTATAAAATTTTGACACATTTGCCTGTAACGTACCGAATGGGATATAAATTAGAAATGCGTTTTTAGTTTTGGCCAAATAGCTTTAGCTTAGCCATTTATTCAAATATATAAACGATGCCTTTAATGACACTCAATTGACATGGTTATACGTATAAAGTATAAAACAAAAACAAATAATTTATTTCGATGATTCTTGAGTTTTCAAAGTAGAAATTTGAAAGCGTAATATATCCCAGTTTTTGTTTTGGTTGTTCCATAGAGTATTCTTTTCCTGTGAACAATTTAAAAAATATGTGAATTAAGCGAATGATATCGAAATGTATAATTAAAAAAATATTTTGCAAGGGATTTCAATAAAAAAGAAATTAATACCTAAATATCATTTTATATCTTATATCTTTAATCCGAAAAAAACGATCTCCTTTTTATACCCGGTACTAGAAGAGCTATTTGAGATTTGTGGTTATAGATTTATAATCGAAGCGGTGTGCGTTTCCGAATCCTTAAAGAAATAATGTTCTTGATCAGAATCAATAGGCGAATAGATACAGCCGGTCTGACTTTTCGTATTGTTTGCCGCCAAGTTCTCAGAGACTATAAGAGCTAGAGTCTCCAAGTTATGTTTGATATGTGATATCACATTTAATTACGTTTTTTCAGAATTTTGCGCCCTATTCGCCTCCACAGAAGACGAAAATCTTCATGCTTTTGTTCTAAGGGAGAACTTTACTTAAAGAATATTCAACAAATTGATATTTTTTGGAAACTCAGGAAAAGTCGAAAAAAATTATATCCTGGGTCCTTTATTTTGTATGTGTATAAGGGCATTCATTCGGCATCGTTTAAGGCATTGATCATTAAAAAATATGGATAAATGGCAGAGCTAAAATTAGTTGACCAACCCTCCGAACCCTTCATGTTTTGAGGAGATGCTATTTTACACCCCACTTCGGCCCTTTAAGCCTAGTATTCATCCGAAAACAGGTTTGCTAGCAAAATGTGCAATATATTTTGGTAGCGGCAGTGTGTGACCAGAAGTAGAAGTGTTAACTGCATTCCGTACGGTTACACTTCTCAGGCAGCTGTGTTGTTTTGTTTACTTTGTGAACATTTGTGAAAAGTGAATAAAAAGTAAAGAAAACATTCAATAAGAAATGGATCCAAGCAGGAGACTACTTTTGGTGGGATTGGCGGCCCTTGTAATAGCGGACGAGAAGGAGAATCAACCCATATACTCATACCTGCTGGAAAGAAACAAGAAGATTCGTGTTTCTATAGTTGTGAGTAATATTAATCATATTGAAATGCTTGCAAATACATCTAAAAATACTCTTTATACATTTTGTAGTTGGAAAGCGTGACTCAAAGGCCATTAGAATTCATTTAGAATTTGCATATCTCTGAGGCGAACTTCAGCCGCTTTTTTGGACTGGTAAAGCAGTACTTGGTCCTCAAACGGAATACTTGGGCATTGTTCTAAAGTGAATATTGTATATGTCCATGCACTTATACATAGTAAATCGTTTCTTTGATTAGATTTCTTGTGTCCGGTAACTTGCAGCGCCACGTGTGCAGAGCATATCGGATCAGCAAACAACAATTCGGCGTGATAATTATACATTTGCATTTCCCTGTCCAATGAATTTCCCAAATTGAGCACAGACAACATGTTAAAGTGGGCTAAGGCTTCGAAAAGGAAGGGAACTTTTCGAACTGTGTGTGAGCCGTTGCCGGAAAACATTTGGCAATAAAGCGGGAGCTGTTTTTGTATGTATGTCGCTTATTTATTTTGTTTAACATTTAATATAAGTGACTCCCTTCAGGGCTGCCACTGCGCTTATGACGATCTGCGACGCCCAGTATATGTTCACCTATGTACATAAAGGTTGCCGCCTATGGAAGTGAGGGCCTTCCTACGCTGCTAGCTTGGTATCTTTGCGCCGATGGGTGGCTGTGCAGCGTACCCTATTTACCCGACAAGAAAAGTCTCAAACAATTGTTGCTGCTTGTTTTCGGCCACAAAATTTATTAATGCGCACGAGCCCCAATACATACGTACATTTACCATACATTGAGATTCATTAATTCAACACTGTATAGTCCGATCCCCTCCCCTGTTGCATCAATCGCCCTCAGCACTATTGACAGGCCTTTAGAAACAACTTAAAAATTCGAAGTAATTAAACAAATAAATGCATATATATTTAATTTATTTACTTCTCCATTCTTTGCATTTTTGATGGCTTCGATCTGCTTAAAATGGATCTCTTTCTCAGTGGCCGAAGTGCTCTTCTCCATGGTCCTCTTCCTCATAACAGGTATTCTACGTGCATTCATATGTATGCCCTTCTCGCTCTCGCTTCCACTTTTTAGTAAGTATTTCCAAAAAATTAATAAAAATAAGAAAAGGTATTTAAAAGCCAGGAAGGAACAGCTAATAGGAAGGAAAAATGGATACAGCAGCAGTGGATATCCGAAAGATGTGAGAAGAGACAAAGGCACAACAATTCTTTCTACATGCATTTAAGTTTCGCTTTGCAAAAGTCTATTTAACTTGTCGCCTTCGTCGCCAAACTCCACTTTAATGTGAGAAAAGCTTTGCCCTTGTCGGCTGCGAATGTCACAGCGTGGGCAGTGCAAGAATGCGATTATCTGGCGTATCAGGCGTCAGTAAGGATGATTAATAAATTCATAAAATAATAATATATAAAACTACTAATGAAGACCTTAACGGAAAGACAAAAGCCACTCATGTCACCATTAGTGAGCTGTGGGCTTCGGAGTTGCAACAAATGGCTCGTCTCCGATCCCCTTGTCCCCTCTTGGCACAAAACTCATCCATGATGTTAAATTTAATGGAAAAATGGGCAACCTCACCCAAAGTACAAAAGTCTCCACCACAGTATACTCCAACACAGTTCACTGCCTGTTACCGGAAACTTTTTCCAGGACTTCGATCCCGAAAATGATTAAAATAAATACAAAAATCGTCATATTTACATTCGAAAGCTTCATTTATCCCAGACTAAAACCACTAAGGGCTTAATTTCATTTCCTAGCTGCATCAAAAAGCTTCACTGAGTGACAAGTTCTTTACAATCAGATGAAAGACACTTGAGTTTTGAAAAAAAAACCGCTACGTCAGCCAATTTAAGCTCAGACGTTTCCCCATAGATTTTAATAAGTAATGCCTTAAACGATGCCAAATAATGCCGAATGTCAAATATAATGGAATTCTGAGAAGATAAGAGCAGAGGTTTCAGTATCCTAGTTTATACAACTGGCTAGAGTTGTGAACTCTTTTCCTCTCCGGACGATGCACCAGGTAATGTGTCAGGATTAATCCTATATCAGCCGTATGTGTCTGTGCATACCAAGTTTTTACTAGGAGCGATAATTTCTTAAAAAGGTTTGGGTCAAAAATGGCATCTTCGGTTCGTGTCCCAAGCCAATAAGCCAACTACATGTTGTGCCGCATTATATCAGTGTGTGCATCCGTAAAGTCGCCTCTCCCTCGCCCTCTGATAACAGCAGTCGGTGGCTGTTGTTTACTTTATTTTTGTCCGGTGAGGTTGCGATAAGCTGAAACGATGCGACTTCCCGTCCCGTACAAGCGCAATAAAGATGGTTGGTTGGTTGTGTTATCAATTTGTCTTTGGGATATGGCCGGCTATATCTACAAAAGTACCGGATTGCCGTTGTCTACCTGTGTCTCGGGTTGCTTACTCGCTTTGGCAGGCTTTTGAGATCCACACAACAATAGGTTAGATACAGAAACAGATATTTTGTTGTACATACTTGGGACGTGACCAGCATTTTGCAAAAGTTTTTCCTAATCATTATGGGACTAGCCCTGATTGGTGGAGATGGGCGAGAGGAACAAAAACCTGATCACGTATCTGTCATAAAACCTTAAATGGGGCTAGCGGGCTAGGTCTCTCAGGTTGTTTTTGTGTCCTCTCTCTCTCCCTAAACATGATTTCTCATCTCTGCTTTATTTTTGTCCGAGTCATTGCACTGTTCTTGTGGACATCGAACTACAACTATCCTGACATCTTCTATGTTCACTTCAGCCGTTACTTGCCGAAGCAAAGGTAATTGACTGTTTGACATGTCGTTTGATATGATAATGATAAACCATTGACCCAAATGTATTTTGATTTCAAATCGCATGAACGAAATCAACAATGACGCAATCGGGATTTAATTGTGCCAATTCAACAGATTTCCATAGGAACTGATAAGAGAATCCCAGCCGAAAGGTACTGCGGGGATTCGTGGGAATCTTAAAGGCTTAAGTTTTCCCAAAACATCTACATATATATTATTTAAACTTACGTATATAAATATGTATTCTAATCCTATATAAATACTCGTAAGTGCAAAACTTTACCACATACATACCAAGTATTTAGATTAGCAGGGGAATTATATTTTAGTAAAGGTGGGAACAGAAGAAGTGTGGAAGGAAGAGTCTGCCTTATCAGGTGACTGCGTTTTTTGTGTGCGTGTGCGAAGCAAACAAATCCCCAGCCAACAGCCACATTCACATCCACGCAGGCGTTTGCCCATTGTCGACTCAATGTGTCACATTGGCAATCTGATATGCGACAAAGTCAACGCCAACAGCAACGGCATCTCTTATCAACGCGCTGCCGGGAGCAAAGCGAAGAAGCTGCGACTCCAATGGGAGCCAGAACCATTACACCAGAAGGTGTACTTATTTAAGACGAAACTCGAAAAGCAGGAACACAACTTGCATGTACATTTGTGTTTGCCAATATAAATATTTATGTACTTGATTCCTATGATTGAAGGGGAATTTCGAGGTAGTGAAAGGAGTAAAATTGTTTTGGCTTCACAAAAACCAGACGTGTGCA